GTCATGTATGGATGTGAGAGTTGGACTATAAAGAAAGCTGAGTGCTGAAGAATTGATGCTTTTGAACTGTGGTGTTGGAGAAGACTCTTGAGAGTCCCTTGAACTACAAGGAGATCCAACCAGTCCATCCTAAAGGAGATCAGTCCTAGGTATTCATTGGAAGGACTGATGTTGAAGCTGAAACTCCAATCCTTTGGTCATCTGATGCAAAGAGCTGACTCATTTTAAAAGACCCTGATGCTGGGAAAGATTGAAGTCAGGAGGAGAAGGGGACGGCAGAGGATGAAATGGTGGGAAGTCATCACTGTCTCAATGGACATTAGTTTGGGTAAACTCCGGGAATTGGTGATGGACAGGAAGGCCTGGTGCGCTGCCGTCTATGGGGTCGCAAAGAGTCGAACTGAGCGACTGAAATGAAGTGAATAATTAGTGATGTTGAGCATCTTTTCATTTGTTCATTGCCCATCTGTATGTCTTCTTTGGAGAAATGTCTATTTAGATCTTCCCCCTAATTTTTGATTCTGCTGATTTTTGAATATGCAGTTCTATGAACTGTTAGTGTTTGTACATTTTGTATACTAATCCTTTGCCTGTTTCTTCACTTTTGTTTTATTAATGGTTTCCTTTGCTATGAAAAAGCTTTTAAGTTTAATTAGATCCCATTTGTTTATTTTTGTTTTAATTTTCATTACTCTGTGCTTTCTGATCTGTATATTTGGACATTTCTTAAGGTTTTATCCTGACATTTTGTCCTACAAAAGTCTCAAGAACTTTCACAGCATCAGCTATCTCAGCACTGTATAGACTCCCAAGCCCCTCTCTTCCATCTCTCTCAGATCTCAGCTCCTCATCTATCTGCGTGCTAGTCGAGGCTCCTTAAAGCTCTGTTCGTTTGAGATGCCAAGGCAATCTGACTATAGGACATAGAGGTATTGGTAACCTCTGATAGAAAGAGTAGACGTCATCTTTACATATCTGCTAGGATGGAAGTGACAACAGATGCTCCAAGAAGATTCCATTTGTTGAGCATCTACTAAATGCACTGTATTCAAATATATGTCATTTTAATATAAACTCCAGAGTATATTTGTTGAACTAGTGAGAATAATTATTAGACTTATCTTTTATCAGTAACTTTCAGTTTCTTACTACACCATTTTCATGCAACAAACAGGATTTAGGCCGTGTGAACTCCTAAGCATGATTGTAAGGGAAATTGTTCTCTGATAGATACTGTAAAGGATATAATGAGATATGGTACCAGCCTTAAGGAACTTGACAGTTTAACTGGGTAAGTGAATCATTCACTCTGGAGAAGTGACTAAATCAAGAGGTAATCCCAAGGTAAGACAATGTCACAGGAGATGTCACAAGGCACTCATATGCCAACAAATGGTATAAAGCCTGAGTTTAAAGAAGGTTGAGGTCACTGTAGGGAGATTGGTGTTTATTGAGGAATAGCTTCAAGGAGGAGGCAGGACTTAAACTTATCCTTCACAAAGTATTTCCCAAACTTCTAGATTGCTAGTTCTCAATTTTTGCCATATTAACAAACTGTCTATATTGTGATTTTTCCAGTTTCCTTTTAACTGACAAGTTTATGGTAAATACCATTTCTTTGTCTTCAATCATGAAATCCACGAAATCACATGTTTGATGTGCTTTTGTGTTTGATATGTGTTTTTCTATTACACATGAAACAAACACAGAAAATCCTCATTATGTCAATCCTTAATCAAATATTGAGTATTTTTCTGATAAAATAATTTAACTTTTGTGGCACAATTTAAAATATTAAAACCATCAAAGTGACCTAGTTAGAGGTTTTAATATTCAAATTGTTTTTTGAGTAATTTATTTTGTTATCATTCTTGTAAGTTTTCTCTTGTTTAGTTAACTGATATAATTCTTCTGGATCTTTTTTAGTGGATTAGCATGTAACTTAAGCATTTATCAATCATTATTTTCATTGATCTCACAAAATCCTGTGTCTTTTCTTCAGATTTGCAACTTGACTTTCCTACAGCTTTGGAAATATACTGGGTTTACCATATATTGGAGAAATTAAAAGCATCATTGATAGTATTAGTGAGGATATTAGTGAGGATGTTGCTAAGTGGAAGGAATGTTTAAGTCAATTCTCAGGTCAACAATGACTATTTTAGTGTTAGGATTACTTTTTTCCTATGTATTCTTTAGCACTAGGGCAGCCTTCTCAAAACATTTTATATCAGAAACATTTGAAATATTCTCAAGGATCAGGGAACTCCTAGATGAAAAGTGTAATCATTTAGCTGTAGATACTATAATCCAATAATAACTGCTAGTGCTCTTTTAAACAGAGTGGTGTTTTCCTGAAAAATCTGTTTAGTTTGGCTGACATTTTAGGCTATTCTTTCGTTGGTCCCCTCTCCCTGCATATTTCAATGGTGTATATAGAATAGACTTCAGTTTTTCCCTTTTAAAATGTCCTCCTTGACTTTTGGTACCTTACCTAAGTAAGACTAGAAGTATTATCAAAACTTTCTGTCATATAAATGCTATTGAGATATAGTATGTGATATATGGTAAGATGCAAGCTTAGGTTTTTTCCTTCCTATTTAAGACTGAAAATGATTTTTTATACAGCCTTTTTAGAAGAGGAAAATAAAAACCAAGTAGTTAACTTTGTTTCTTGAAATCAATCTCTTTTATCCTTTTTATAAATTTAAAAAATTTTAAGGTAAACATAATATGCTTTTTTTAAGTAACTTGTTTAAGTCAAAATGGGATATAATATTTCTAAAGGTAGTTTGTTAGGTTTATTTAAATAACATTTATGAATTTACATTAATGTTGTTTTCAACAGGAAAATAAATTAACAGTATTGAATAACAAAGTTACTAAAACTATATGTCAAAGCAATATGAGTAAAATTATAGCCTAAGACAACATTTTCTAAGAGACTTTGAAAGAAACCATCTTCTTACTGAGTGGCAATGTCAGGATTATGTAGATAATTATAAGATTGATATACACATGTGTTGGTTTCATGATCATTTTAATAGGCCTAAAAATGCACTTTAATTTTAGTTGCCATTTGGAACTAAAAATAAATGATTAAATTTATTTTTTAAAGAATGATTATGTTTATTTCTTTAATGTGACACCTATGCCATTTGCTGTTGTTGCTTATTTACTTGATTCTGGGTTTAACGTGAGATAAGTTCCCATGGATTTTATTTTCAGCTAAAATGAGACAATTTCTGTCCTTTTTCTTGATGCTTCTTAAAAAATACTTTCTCATACATTGTTGTTGCTGTTGTTGTTCAGTCACTAAGTTGTATTCTACCCTGCAACACCATGGACTGCACATGTCAGGTTCCTCCGTCCTCCACTATCTCCCAGAGTTTGCTCAAATTAATGTCTGTGAGAATTATCATACATATACACAGAGATAAAGATGGCAGTAAGCCCTGAAACCCACTTCAAAAACTGATAATGGATATAACCAAATGATCATGGTCCTGCTTTATAAGACTAAAAAACCTATGTGTCCACGCTAAGTTTCTTCAGTCATATCTAACTCTTTGCGACCCACTGGACTACAGCCCACCAGGCTCCTCAGTCCAAGGGATTCTCCAGGAAAGAATACTGAAGTGGGTTGCCATGCCCAGGATTGAACCTGCATCTCTTATGTCTCCTGCATTGGCAGGTGGGTTCTTTACCACTAGCGCCATGTGGGAAGCCCTAAAAAATCTATAGCAGCTGCTATTCGAGCACCGTGGTCACTGGGTCATCTTTTGCAGAACTCCCTAATGACATCTTATAGAGCCCCACGTGGTGCTGCACAGAATCCCATTTGAGAAACTCTGCCCTAGGGACTTGGATAATATATACAAGGATAATGTGAACCCCTGTAATTAATTATTAATCTAAATTTTTTTTCAGTCTGTATACCACTGAAAATTGTGTCATCCGTATTTTGTGAAACAATGTATAAAAGGGCAAGTAAAATCTGGATATGTTTAAAAGAGGGGGAAAAGGCATGACAAATGAGAATAACCAGAACAAAGGCCAGTAGGGCAGGGGTTCTATAATAAATAGAACTGGATAACACGCACAAAGAACTTTTTGACAAAAGTAGAGGGGCCTGAAGTTGGGGAAACATTATGGTTGAGTTGTAGAGGCCTTGAATTGAAGAAAACAAAGGTCTTGAAAATCCACTAAGATTTTGAAGAGTAAGTGAAACTTGTGAAATTGGGAGAAGATGAATCTGGCAGTGTGGGAAGAATCTAGAAGTAGACAGGCAAGTACATTCTTGTGATAATTCATGCAAGTGTAAATAATAGCCAGAACCAGAATGGTGGCCATAGATGTGAAGGAATGGGATGGGTTTGGAACTTAAGGTGAATAGCTTTCATGATATCTGGGGTCAACCTGACAATGAACATAGTACTATTAGTGGTTATGGTATTAATATTTCCATTTTCAGAAATATTAAAATTGTGAAATTGAGTGACTTTTTTTTGGAAGTGTTTCTAGGTTGAGTTGTTTTCTGAGACTCCCCAACCAGTCATCTTCTCTGGCCTTGTCTCCTGACACTATTCCTCTCATTTCATTTCATTAGAGACTACAGATCCCACAGTGCCAGATTTTCAGATTTTTTGAGAACTGTAAATCTAGCTAGTTTGTGATACCTTTCCATTTCTAAATGTTAACAATTCAATTTTTTTAAACAATTAAAATACACTATATCCTATGTACTAGACTTGGTTGCCAATTTGTGACCTTTATCTGGAGTTGTGTATGCTGCTTTCAGAAATCACCTTGAAGTGAACCCTGAACCAAATGGTAATAGTCCCTTTTGGAAGCCTCTGTATAATTCTTATTAGCAGGAAGCTCATAGAAATGTTTTTTTTAGTAGTTAATGTTTTCATTTTGTTGGGATGTTGATTTGCAAGTTACAAGCCTTTCTCTGCTTCTTCCCAGCCAGGTCTCTAGACAAACTTTATAACTTTGCTGATTGCTCTGGACTCCATCTGATATTTGCTCTAAATGCACTGCGTCGTAATCCCAATAACTCCTGGAACAGCTCTAGTGCCCTGAGTCTGTTGAAGTACAGTGCCAGCAAAAAGTACAACATTTCTTGGGAACTGGGTAATGGTAAGTAAGGATGTTATTTCCTCTGAATTGACAAGATAAAGGGTAAAATATAAATTGACTCGGGATATAGTCTCAGACCATATCTAGTACATCCCAGAAAACTACTGGGGTTGTTTGACCATTGAGTTGACTTTCCAAAAAGACCAAACAGTTGGAGAGTAGATTTAGTGAATCACACTATTTGCATCTGCAGTTATCTCTAGTTGCCTTATTCAAAATATAGGGGGAATGCCATGTGTGACTTATAATTAACAAATTGATGTTAAATCAGATATAGCCTATCTGCACAGCCTAAGCTGCATTTTACAGTGTGTCTCTGTGGAACACTGGTCCTGTAAGATGACCTTATAATAATTCAAGAGAGTTTGGTGAAGTATATTCGGGAACTGATCTTCAGTATATGTACGTCTTGAAGGTTCACACTGCACATTAGCATATAAAAGACTCTGCGAAGTCCTCCTGCAATGAAATCTGTATAACATTTTTAATCCAGCTTTAAAATTTTTTTTACTTCAAGATAGCATCTCTCTTTTTAAAATTTATTTATTTTGACCAAGCTGTGCAGCATGCAGAATCTTAATTCCCCTGACCAGGGATTGAACTGGTGCTCCCTGCATTGGGAACATGGAGTCTTAACCACTAGACCACCAGGAAAGTTTCAGCCCAGCATTTAAAAAAATCATTTTAAAAATAGGTTTTGATTGGTTTCAGGGGCATGCATCCTGTGTAGTCACATAGGATCCCATGCTTAGAAGAGAATCATGCTTGATTTAATGCTATCATGCTTGATTTAATGCTCTTCTATTATCATCTTGACACGACTGAGTGACTGAACTGTCATCTTATTTTTTAAATAAAAGGATCTACATTTTCATTTTGCATGGGGGCCTGAAAATTATGTAGGCAGTCATGTTTAATCATTGCAGTCTATGTGTGTGTGTGTGTGTGTGTGTGTGTGAGAGGGAGACAGACCTATTATCATCTCATGGAACAATGTTCCATGGAACACACTTGGGAGAAATACTGCCTAAGTCGCACTATTTTTCCTAGCGATACGAATGTATGATTTGTTATATATATGATATTCTGTAAATTCCATGACTGTCTAATATTATTGAGTCAGCTAATATGGATTATAGTTAAAATTATGGATAATTTAAATTGGAAAATATTCTGATTCCCTAATTAAAAGGCATTTTGGTAAATTTTAGAACAAAACAATTGAGTCTAATAAACCAAGAATTCTTTTAAAATTGCTGTTACAAATTGATATTAACATTTTTGTCCATGACCTCGTATATATATGCTAACTCATATTTGTTTGGAGCACTGTGTGTGTGTGTACACATGCACATGCACATGTGTGTTTTTATGCACTCTAGAATTTGAAATTCTCATAAGGAAGCAGGAGATGAGGATTTTTTAAGAACAAGTGTCTTTTTTTCTATCAGTAACCATTTACTGGAATGTAGCTCTCCCTTCCCTGAAGTCGGGGAAACTGGGGGAGAGTTAGCCACCAAATGGAGACTTGATCTGAACTGAAGCTAATTTGGATACAACGAGCATAACTAGGGTAGCCTGAGATTTTTCATCTTCCCAACCAGTCTAGGTATCATACATTCTAGGACAAAAGCAAGTGTGATGTGGTCAGCTTAGAATGAGGCAAAATTATTACACAGTAGACAAAGACATTTACTGATCTCTTCCCATCCTATCTTCTATTTCATGTCAGAATATCTTGACATTCTTTGGTATTTCGTGTTGTCTACTCATGACTACCATACCTAACCTTACCCTGCTCCTATATTAGACTCTACCCAGCTTAGCTCTTTTCTCCAAACACAACAAAATACTGTTCAAACAATGCATTCTCCAAACAGGACATTATAGCTGTCATAAGGGACAATGTTTAAAATGAGTGAGTGAAAGACAGTAAGGAGTGGTAGTGCCTCTGGTGAGCTACAGAATACATGCTCTGCCTAAACTTTTTGTTTTCTTTCTAAATTATTTCTAAATAAAATTTGTTTGTAAAAGAATCTCAGCTCTATTGTAAAGTAATTATCCTCCAATTAAAATAAATAAAAAGAATCTCAGATGGTTGTAGATAAGCACAAAGCAATTAAAACTTACTTACAAGTGACTGATGGGAGTAATTCCTCCAGGGTTTTTGGTATCTCTGAATTTGGGAGCTTATTAAACTAAGTAAATCTTTAATTGATATAACTGAAGTGATTTAGTGGCAGAAGGTGGGTGGGGAGAATATATGCATCTTTCTGTATATATCCATCTGTTCCAAATAACTGAGAGTCTGCCTCTTTCCATCCTTCCCCAAAATTATGCTGAACAGTTTGGAGATGGAGCTAATTGCATTTTAAAAATGTTCAGTCACCTTAGCCACACTTGATTCTCATCATCATCTTTTTGGTGTCTCTTCAAGGATTAACAAAAACAAAGAATCAGTTTTGAGGAGGAGAAAAGGCATGGTCATAGATAAGAAAATAGATATATAGACAGGAATAGATAGAAAAATAACCAAGGCTATGAATTTAAAATTCAATAAGGTAGAAAGTATCTGGTAAGGTTTCTTGTGAGAATTTTCATCAAGATAGATATAGTTTTTTGAGTTTCTAGTCAAGAAGACTGGAGTTGGTCTGTTTACCTCTTCTTCCTTTTATTTGAAAGTTGCATTTCTATTTTTTGATATGACAAATAAGTAGTCTGCCCAACTAAACATATCTTTTAGGGTTTGAAGATTTATCTGGTTGCTTTTTCTAATTCATTTTAAACTACTGATAGCTTTTCTTATGCTAGTATCATATCCCTAGAGATATCTAGTGTATTCTGTTCACAACTATTCTGTGTTATATATTCAGGCCCTTGCCCCTCAAAAATTATCTGGTCATCCTCCTGGCCTGGATTTGTCTCTCTAATCTTTTATCCATTTTCTTCTCTGTAACCTTATCTTTTTTGGACAGATGTAATAGTTTAACTATTATATCCACATTTAGGGAGGGACAATAGAACTGGTCAGTTCTCTTATCACTCAACCTCCCATATACTCACATCCTGTTAACAAGTACTTTAGAGTAAATCTGGCATTGGAAAAACTGAAGTAGATATTTCTTTGGTTGTTTCTCCTAGAGTAGCTAAACTTCAAGTGACTTACTTTTTTCTTCTTTAAAATTGGTGGATAGTGTGGGCTACAGACCATGAAAACAAAAATATACTCAATTTCAAGAGGTGAAAATTTAGAAAGCTTAGGATGTCAAAGATTATGAAAGAATGACTTCCCTGATACAAGATTTTTAACAACTATGTTTTGTAGATATGAAATGTTTCCTTGCATGTCAGACTGTTTGCAACCCCTTGAACTATAGCCTGCCAGGCTCCTCTTTTCATGGAATTTTCCAGCCAAGGATACTGGAGTGGGTTGCCATTTCCTACTCCAAGTCACCACTTTACCTGCTTACTTTTTTCCTTTCCCTCTCTGCCTGCTTCTCACCTTCATCAACTATCTTCTCTATTCTTTATCCACATACTCCCATCTACACATATACTCTCAATAAGTTCATAGACTTATACAACTATTTCCACAGTCCAACTTTAGAACATTTCCATAACTCCAAAAAGATCCCTCATGCTGGTTTTTAACCAGTCTCTGTAACCATTCTCAGTCCCAGGAGACATTAATCTGCTTTTTGTCTTTTGTGGACATTTTGTGTAACTGGAATCGTACAGTATGTAGACTTTTGCATCTGTAGACTTCTTTCACTTAGCATGTTTTTGAGGTATATCCATGTTGTAGCATGTAAAAGTAGTTCATTCCTTTTAGTTGCTGAATGCTATTCCAATGCATGAATATACACATATATTCATATATATATACATGTGTGTGTGTGTGTGTGTATATATATGTATATATATGTATATATACATATATATATATATATCTATCTCACATTTTGTTTTTCCATTCACCAGATTATAGGCATTTAGATTATTTCTACTTCTTGATTATGATTAGTAATGGTGCTGAAATATTCGTTTACAAGTCTATGTGTGGATATATACTTTCATTTCTTATAGGAAGATACCTCAGAGGGGAATGGAGTTGCTAGTTGTATGGTAATTTTATGTTGATTTTTGAACAAATTAACCACATCACTTTCCAAAGTGGTTGTACCATTTTACATTTTCCTTAGTGATGCATGAGGATTACAGTTTTTCTACATCTTTGCAAACACTTTTTATTGTCTATCTTTTTTATTAGAGCCATTTTAGTGGGTTTGAAGTAGTATATTAATATGACTTTAATTAGCACTTTCCTAATGACAAGTGATATTGAGCATCTTTTCACATGCTTTTCAACCATTCTTACATTTTCTTAGGTGAAATGTCTACTCAAATCTTTGGCCTTTTAAATTAGGTCATCATATTGTTTAGTTGTAAGAGTTTTAAATATATTCTGAATGCACGATCTTTATCAAACATATGATTTACAAGTATTTTCTCCCAATCTGTAACTTATTTTATCATTTTCTTTATGGCATCTTTTGAAGTTCAGATGCTCTGAATTTTTATAAAGTTCAGCATATCAATATTTTTTTTGATGTGTTGTGCTTTTGATATTATATCTTTGCCTAATCCTAGATCACAAAGATTTTTTTAACCCAAGGTCACAAAGAGTTTTTTCTATTTTTTCTTTTAAAAGCTTTGTAGTTTTTGCTTTTGCTTTTAGGAATAAGATCCAGTAGGAGTTAAATTTTGAGTATGATGTGAAATAAGAATCTAAATTCATCTTTTTGCATATGGCTATTAAATTGTCCCAGCACTGTTTATTTAAAAGATTTTCCTTTTCTTATTGAATTCTCTTGACATTTTTGTCAAAAATCAGTTGACCATAAATAGGTTTATTTCTGGGCTCAGTTCTCTCCCACTGAACTGTATGTCTGTTCTTGGACTACATTGTCTTTTTTTGATATATGTATTTATTACAAAAT